CGGTCCCTGCGGCGAGCCGGGTTGGCGTGGGCATTGCAGCCCCGGGAGGGGCAGAGGGGCTCGCGGGGGCTTTGAACCCTTCCGGCTGGATCCTCACCGTCCTTTCTTGGGCCAAAAGCTCTTCTGTATGAGAGGACAGAGGCCAGAATCCTGGGATCTCTCATTGAAGCTGTTCTGCTGTTCATATTTTTATTTTTAATGAGCTGTGTCTTAGTACGTGACGGTTCTTTGGGAAGCCTGCTTTGTAAAGCCTTAGTCGCCGTCTTCCTGCGAGTGCTCAGCAGGGCTTAACATTGCTGAATGACTTCTCCCGGCCGGCGTTAAGGGTGGCTGATCATAACTCCTTTCCTTCCTTTACTAACTCCCACGAATCCGGAGGGCGGTGGGGTGAGGAAGAGTTGGACCTTAACTTGGAGCTAGAGCTTGGAATAATAAGGCTGAACTGAAAAGCAGAGTTAAGCTTGGGATCCGTGTAGCTTCTATGATAACCTCTTTAAAGTTGGGCTTTTACCCCCCCCACTTCTGGGCTGGGGGTGGGAGGTAGGAGGACCTGGGTCCCCCACCTCTGCTCCCAAGAGAGGTTGGCGCCCTTGGCCTCGGGTGGCTGCCTGGTCCTTAGCCAAACAGTGGCAGAGTTTGTCTTGGATGGCTGTTCTCCTAGTCCCCAAGAGTTGAACCAGTCTTTAATTCTGCGCCAGGTGGAGAATGCTTTCAGTACTTTAGAGCAAGGACCTATTTAGAGTCTCTGGCCAGGAACGAAGGCTTTAGTTCAGAAGACAAAATGTTTATTTCCAGCTGTGTGCAATGCCAACCAGCTGTTTGAAAAATAGGAGGAGTTGTTTACGGTTACAAATTAACCCTAGTGACATGGACAGATCTTCCAGCCAGTCACATGTATGTAACCAAAGAGGAAGAAACCAGGATATAAAACTGTCATAGCAGCGTGGGAGTCTGATGATCAGATTCTGTGGACTTTTTTTCCTTTTGCCTGCTATTTAGACTTGTTTGTCATCATGCAGTTAAGCAGGTAAGGCCTGAATGTCTATATTTTATCGACAGCCATATAACCTGTGTTTCACCCATTCTGTGATTCTTCCCCCCTTTCAAGTGCTGGAGTCGATTCATTTGCAGATGTTCCTGCTATAATGTATAACTTCTTAATATTCACATTGATGAATCCATTTAAAAACTTTCAAATGCTTAATCTATATTTATTTAAATGTGAAACATGAATTTACTCAAATGTTTGACAGTGTTAGAAAAATTCGAAATTGGAACTGGGTGAGGGAAAGTAAAGATCAGGTAGAAAGGCAGAAGAAGGGATGTATACATAGCCCTAATGAAGCAGGGAAGGAAGCAGTTGCAGAAATGCCTCACAACATTGCTTCTTGCTAATATCACAGATCTTAATAGATAAAGGACAACTGGAAACTCTTAAAGGTACCTTGAACTAGCAAAGTGATTTTGACTACTTGAAAAAAAGGTTTTTCAGATGTTTTTGTGTTATTTCTCAATCTTGATGGAAAAAAAAAAAACATGAGAAGTGGGTTGGGTTGCTAAACAGGATGAGAAGAGGTTGTCTAGGGACAGCATTTGGGCTGACCCTACTGTAGAAATCTTGGGATTAAGGAAAACAGAAAAACAGTAATAAAAAGATAAATCAAATCTAGAAAACTATAAGAACTCCCCCAAACAAATCTTTTAAATTAAAAGTTTTATAGCAATGCAGATTGAGCAGTCCATAGGTTTCTTCCACTATCAGATTTAAATAAAGTAAAATGCCAAAATATTTTATTGTTTTTAGTAAGTTTTGGTAATATAACTAATATTGTTTTGTTGTGTTTTGCTTATGTGCTAAAAGATTTTGAGTTTCCACTAAGTAAAACAAAAAACAAAAAAAAAGAAAAGAAAAAACTAAGACAAATCATAAAATGACTCCATTTATTAATAACATTTTATTATTATAAAAATTATATTTAAATTTTTTTTCTCTGGAGATATTTTTATTATCTGTTGTAAAGCTTATACAATTTTCAACAAATAAAGGAAATAATAATTCCAACTTCAGGTCATAAAGTAACAAAGTTATAATACTCTTCGGTTTTGTGCAAAAGCTAGTTTTGACTCCACCTGGGAAAGTAACACATCAATAAATTTTAAATTCTCAATACTTCTGTATTTTAGCCTCTGGTATTTTGTGTTATTAAATATGATTATGGCACGTATGCATTACTGCATGGATAGAGAAGACAAATCCACGTTGTTTTGAAATGTCTTCAAAATCAAATAGACACGATAACAGAGATAAATTTCATTTATCTTTTAATCTGATAATATAATGTGCTTTCCTATTTTCATGGGATATTTTCTTTTTAGAAACCCAACATTATAATAAGATTGTACTTTTTGGTAAAATACTGTTCATATTATTTTGTTTTGGCAAAATAGTGTACTATAGTTTAGTAAACCAGACATAAATAAAAAGGAACTACTGGAGTTAATGAGTATTTTTGTGTCATTCATTCATTTTACACACACACACACACACACACATACACACACACACACACACATATATTCTACCATTAGTTGTGCACTTAGATTTATGTGTTTCTTAATAAATGTGTGGGTTCTTTCCAGAACATTGCTTTTGTATATTTCTCTCAACAAGTGTAGAGAGCACAACTGATGGACTTTCCAAACTAGTGCTTCTTTACCAATCTATGTTCCAGCTTTGCATATTTCCTGTTAGTTTTTTTTTCATATTTATTTTCTTTAAAATGAAGAATTCCTGATTAGAATAGGAATTTAAAATTTTTAGTAATTTAAAATGCAGGGTATGAGTATTTAAAGAATACTGACATACATGAACAATACCATTGTGTGACAGGTTAAGCACACACTTATTTTTTTCTTAAAAACCAAATCCCAAAGGTGTGTGGTTAGGATTTAGTCTGATGTTTAATGATCTCTTCTAATAATCTAAGATTTTTTTTCTATTATCTCTTAACCATAGGTTAATGAAAAGACTAAAATGGTAATAGATGTAGAATTTCTTTTCTGCATTTCTGTTCTAGTACTAATTGATAGGATTGCAGTAAGATTTTTTTTAACACTCTTCATTAATTTCTCTCATGCATCATATGCAGGTACCCATGTACATTGCATAGAATTGTGGACAAAGTGACAAAGATTACCACTAACAACAATTACAAAATAAAAGACAAACGTGTTATGGAAATGAAATGTATTTTTCAGAAGATATAATTTAAGTTTGAAAGTTTGACCATTTTCTCTCTGGTGCTAGGAATGAACCAGGGCCTCCCATGTATTAGGCAGGCACTCTACCACGGAGCTGCATGCCCAGCCTAGCTAAGTTTGATGTTTAAAATTAGTCTCTTAAAATAAAGTTTTGCCTTCATACATGGTGTAACATTGACTCAACTAGTTTTTCGTTTGTTTGTTTTGGTACCGGGGATCAAACTTCGGTCCTTGTGCTTGAGAGGCAGGCGACAGAACCACTGAGCTAACTCCCCAGCCCTACCCAACTTGTTTCTTAAATGCTAATATCAAATATTCTTAGTCTATGTTATAATGGTGTCAAGTAATGTTAATTAGTGTTTCTTCTACTTTGACATTATGTAACTTTTAAAAAAACTTTAATATTTAAAAAAAACTTCAAATAATATGTTTCTTGAGTCACATTACTTGTTTAATATCCCTCTGGAAGAATAATCACTTTTAGAGAATAGTTGCTCTTGGTTTACTCTTCACTGTTATTTAAAGAGGAAATTTTGATGTCTTAGCAGATTTATTTTTTCAAGTTTGTGATCTCTCTTCGTAATCAAAGGGAATATCGAAATAATGTCACATAAAACACCAAAATGGAGAAACTTTTCAAAAGTTCCTTTGTAGCATATTTTGTAAAATTAAGTACCAAAATTAAGTAGAGTGATACGTCTGACATTGTTGATGTTTTAATTTTAATAATCATTTGGCTAATTTTATTCACATAATTAGGAGAGTAACTCTGACCAGTTTCTGAATGACTTATCATACGAATTATGTCATTTTTTTGTTTCAATGTCTATGTAAGTCCTTTAGAAAAATGAGATAGTATACTACAGTTAAGTAAATCACACATATGTTTGAGTATTATTGATTGCTAATGGATGATTTTAATTGCTAAGAGTGGGATAGTGTAATAATGTTTCGTCTATTCTCTAAAATAGAAAATGAGTCACTGAGGATGAAATTTAATTATGAAGACAAGATTAAATTTAATTATGAAGAGATACCTGGAAATTCTAGTTTGGCCCAGTTATTTTCTTATGCAGGTATCAAATAACCACTGTAACCATTTTATATTGCTCATCAAATATCCTCATCGATAACACTGTAAGGTTTTTATAACGATCATTTTCAAGAATATTTGAGAAGCCATCATGAATACTTCTCTCCTGTTACTCACTTGCAGACCTATCCAATTACAAAGGTTCAGTAGATATTTATTTCATAAGGTAAGAATCTGGTATTTTATATGTAACAATTGAAATAAAGTATGGGGGTGTTTTCCAATTAACATTCAAAGTGACTAATTATGACTGATTCTTTAACAATGGAACCAAAGCTAATTATTATTCACTAACATTTTATTCAAAATTAAAATATATAACTAATATATTTTAATTGGTTGGATTACACATCATTTTATCAAAAATAAATAGTTATGTTGATTTTGAGTGCTTATTTTTAGTAAAAATGTATAATTTATGAAATG